TTTTTTTTTTTTTTTTTTTTTACCCAGTCATTTAAAAATAACACATTTTAGAGCTGTAACGACAATACCGCAATACCGTGATATTTTTGCTTAGGGTGTCATACCATCAAAATCGCATACCGGGCCATGCCTAGTCTGCACAGACAGAGAAACGTATTACACAGCTCAAAATGAGGCAGGCCAAGTGTTTATAGTCAGTCAGATACATAGAGAATGACAGAAAGGGCAAGACTGAGTGAAAGCGAGGGCTGCGGCGGGAAAGAATGACCTCGGAGGACAGACACTGGCATGGTGCCCTGCAGTGAATGACTCAGGGGAAGCAGTAATCCCTGTAAATTTCCACTGTACAGTCACACTCTCTAATTTCATCACTCCCTATATCTTTAACTCTTAACCCTTTATGTACTACATCAGTAATAGCATGGTACTTTAATATATTCCACAATACTAAATTTCCACTGTACAGTCACACTCTCTAATTTCATCACTCCCTATATCTTTAACTCTTAACCCTTTATGTACTACATCAGTAATAGCATGGTACTTTGATATATTCCACAATACTAAATCATTTCCATGTACCAATGAATTTACATGTTTCTCCAAACACATTTCATTACACCAAATACACAAAATAATGTTCTTTTTAGAAGCATCATATGACCACTTTAAATAAAATACCACAAAATTACTAGGGCTGCACGATAACCATTTTTACCATTATTGTCGTAGTCGTGTGTTTATTTGTCACGTTGAATCAATGAAAGCAGTTAAATCTTCTGTTTATTCAGCAACCGCTATAGGGATTTCCTGGGTTTCTTCTGCGAGGTGTATTTGGAGTTTCAGAACCGTGCTTCACTGAAAGATACGCACGACAATCGCAGCTTCTGCCTAATCGCGATTTATCGCCTTTCCGATTTAATTTCGATTACAGAACACCCTAGCAATCATATATAAACACTCTGGCTACTACCATCACATTAGCATCATATCCAATTTCTTTCCAGAATTCCTGTCACAAAAGATCACATCAGCTTCAGAAACTAGCAAAGATGTAGGCAGTATCTGGGGAAAATTGTTTGTTTCTCTCTCAGAAGTTTTTGAGTGGAGTACCAGTAGTGAAAGGCTGAAATGTCTTCATTGATCCCACTCAAAATTCATTTACCTTCTCAAAACAATTCCCTGAACGGGTTTTCTCTGTCTTTCCCTTTATAAATTCATAAACGCAAAAAACAAAATCAATACACACACACACCTCACCTGTCTTTCACCCAACAATCTCTTATCTGTAAAATCGAACATCATATGGAGAACTCTTTGTTTAAACATGTCTTGACAACACAAGAGGTCAAAGGGTTATCCAGTCTG